GCAATGATCACACGAATTTTTATTTAATTGTTCATCCCAATATCATCTACTGTTAGGTAAAGATAATGTCGCGCATTGTGTTTGTGCAGAACCTAAGGGAAAACAGTGTTTACTGTTTTAAATACACACCGAAGAGCCATTGCATTATGACAACCCTGCTAATAATATGTAGGACCACCTTTAGTCCTCAAAACTGCTAGCACCCGCGTTGGCATTGATTCCACAAGGTGTTGATAGGTAGTCTGAGGTATCTGGTACCAAGCGCTCACCAACTGGTCCCGCAATACCCTCACAGTGCGAGGGGGGAGCGCGGCAGCACAAATTTGGTTTTCCAAGCAGGACCACAAATGCTCTATTGGATTAAGGTTAGGTGAATTTTGAGCCAAGACATGACTTGAAAGTCACTGGAATGTTCCTCGACGATTCGACCCTTATGACATGGTGCTTTAATCCTGTTGGTAAACACCACCCCCAGCAGGAAAAACTGTTGCCGTGAATGGGTGAACCTGGTCTGCAACTATGTTCAAGTAGCTTACAGACGTCAGGGATGGGTCCTAATATGCTCCATGAAAACATTGTTCCTGGGCGAGAAACCATGAAAACATGGGCGAGCCCATTGTTATAGATGGAGGGTGGTCATAATGTAATGGCTCTTCGGTGTATAACAGCTGACTTTTCCATTAAATAAAAGTAACACGTAACCACTTAAGATCATTTATATATTTCCATCAAGCAGCAAACGATATCATCTACTTTATTTAAAGATGTCTTGCTGAAGCAGAAATCAAGTAATAATCTACAGATTTCAAATAATAACAGCAGTACACAAAACAGTAGATATTAGAAAATGGCTGTATTTTTCGTCAAACTTAAGTATTTTCCAAATTTTATAAGATAGTTATTTTAACGTGATAGAATTTAAATTTTTACATTCTATAAAAATATATGTATTTCATAAAAAAAAAAACCTAAAAACGTATTACGTGATCTCAATACAGTACTAGCGTATTTCATTTTGTATTAGTGCGTACACGCACTTTTTAGTTATTCTCGCCCCCGTGAAAATGACTGGATAAGGTTTCGCCCTCTATTTCTCGCTCCCGTGAAATTTCTGGACTGGAGTGTTCAGTAGTAACGCGTCAATAAGAATAAAATAATTCATTTCTTTTTGCCCAGAAAGCATTTAATTTCTCATTTTACACACCAGATGGCAGTACCAGGATATTTTTAAGGCAATTGTAGATAGTTAGCTTATTTTAAACTAGATGCAGCACGAATCAAATACGTGTATTTGGCAAAATAGGCACTTTTATGATCGTTTTCTTGAAAATTAACCGATCATTAAGGGGTTAAGAAGTGTGTGAAGTAAACCAATGATATGAATATGTCTTATTCTTACAGTCATTGCATATTGTTGCCGTTATTTGTTCTTCCTCTTAATTGGTTATGTTCTTAAAGATGGGTGAATATTTCGGTTGCATCCGATACCATTATCGGTCGGAATAAACTGGAGAAACATTTACACAATCAGCTTTTTTCTTAAGGCTGATTGCGTAACTTCCTTTCATGTCAATTTCATTTATATATGGTACATAATTGTAAATAAATAAATTTATTTATTTTTAATGAATTTTTTTATAATTACTTTTTAAATGAAAGTTTTAAAATTATTAAACTAAAATGCATTTAAGAGGGAGTTGCATTTACAATTGTAGTTTCTTTTCTAACCTTGAAACAGAGAAAGTTTTTAACAACACACCATGACATATTAAAAAACCTCGTTTTATTTTAACGAATTTTTCATTTGGAAACTTTTGTATGAAAAAATGTATACAAAAAATTTTTTTATAGCACAATCGAATCTAAATAGTTTTGTTGTTTTTTGACATAGAAAGTAATATAATAACAGAATATAATAACAGGTGTTAAAAATAACGTAAAATATTCCCTTTCTAAATGTGAGGATGAAAGGCGCAAGTTGTGTCAAAAAATCCTGAAAAAATTTCTGGGCAAATTTATTAATCAATTCATGAAAATTGGTACTAACACGTACGAATTACCAATTTAATTAAACCAGAACAAACTTTTGTGATGTAATCATAAAAAGACAATGCAAATTATTTTTTCATTACGTTACTTGATGTCTTACATCTTTTTTTTAATAAAAAATACCTTTTATTTCTTTTTTAGATTTTTGATTGCATAGCTGAAAAATTTCCAACGGTGAGTAAGAATATCATGAATTTAAGAAAATAAATTAGAATTTTAGAACTTTAGGTTTTGATATTATATATTTTAAATTCTAATCATAGGTTGAAGGAGAAGAACGAAAAAAGATGAGGAATTTTGAAGTAAGTCCATATTAAAGACTTAACTTCTTTTTTTTTAATTATTATTAAAAGTTAAAAATGATCCATCTTTTAAAAATACCACATTTACGCAAGGGTAATTTATTATTATGATAAATATGCTATATTTTAAAACTATAATTAGCAGCCTTAGTTTGCATAAAATCAAGAAATGTTTCAATTGTTAACAAATTAAATATTTAATGTCTGGGAATCTTTTAATATTGCATATTTCCGTTTTTATATATAAAAAAATAGCATCATTAATTATCATTTTAATTCATGCAAAACTTCTGGTTTTATTTTATTAAAAAATCATATTTGTACACATTTTAATCACTACAAAAGTTTTTAATCAGGAAAATTGATCTAAAGTCAGCAGAACATATTTGATTCATTTATTATATTTGTGAAATCTGCAAAACTTCAGATATGTGGGATTAAAATGTAAAAATATTTTCAAGAGAAACTTAAAAAAGTTATTTTCCAAGTATGTAATTCTAATTTTGAATAATTTGATTAAAATCTATAGATATTTTTGGGTTCTTTATTATTTTTTTAAAAGAAATCGTTCAATTATTTTGCTAGTTGAATAAAATTTTTATATAACAATATCGAAACATTTCACTGTAAAAAAAAAGTTTATGGAGCACGCATGCAAACTTGCAGCTAATTTATGGTGCCAAGGTGAAAAATTTTATCATGCTAATTAATTGACTTCAAATTTGATTACGTGATAGTACAAAATGAAAAGAAAATTTGGTAAAACTATCCTTCTATATGGTAATGATAGTGTCGACCGGCCTGTGTAGGAGTTAGGGAACTGTCCTTGCATCATAAAGGTTCTGGGTTCGAATCCCGGGCAAGGCATGGGTGTTCTTTCCTTCTCTGTACTATCTGTCCTTACTGTAGGAGCAACGTTGGCCCACCTAATATGGTGCCCCTGAAAGAGTGGCCAACAAATCTGCCCTTCAGGTGCCTGTATGACCGAGGTCATTATCCAGGTGGACATTGGAAAAAGAATGGTAATGACAGTTTTCGCAAAAAAAAAAAAAAACATTACTCTGATTTCTGAAACGGTATTTAAAGCATTGATTATGTAATTTTTCCGTTCATATAGAAACGGCTTACCGGAAATTCAGGTTTTCAAGATGATAGTTCTTAGTACAGCACATTTGGTAAAAAAAAAATACAAAACTGAAAAGTAAATCTAATCGAATAAATGGTTTTTATGCCACGATTTAAGGTATTATGATAAAGTTAGCAAATATTATCACAGTTACCAAATTTTATCACACATTATGAAACCATATTTTAATGTTTGATGTTCCCTTTGAGTCAGATGCGCGATAAATGTTACCATATTCTTCTAGTTTTATTAAGACTTTTATTTTTCAGTATATGGATCATCTTTCAGGGAAACATGTGTTCANTTGGGCATTACTTTCCAAATGCTATTGGAAAAAATTGTACTGGATATTTTTTCATTAAATCCTTTTGACATTGAATGACATCAGTTAAAAAAATACTAGTATCAAGTCCAGAAAAAAGCAAGTTAATTCAAGAAGAGAAAGGAAAAACAAGTCAAAGATTGGTTATGCTAAGAGTAATCAACTGATTGTTAATAAAGTAAACTCTGTCGAAGACAGAATCTGTATAACTTGAATTTTAGCCCGAAATAGGAATTTTGGAAAAGACTTTTCTTATGCTAGAGTTAATAATATTAGCTTAATTTTCACATGTCGGATTCTTCATAGGAATAGAAAAGAAAAGTCAAAGTCACTTTTATGACCGTTTTCTTGAAAATTAACCGATTGTTAAGGGGTTAAGAAGTGTGCGAAGTAAACCAATGATATAAAAATGTCTTATTGTTACAGTCATTGCATATTGCTGCCGTTATTTGTTCTTCCACTTGATTGGTTATGTTGTTAAAGATGGGTGAATGTTTCGGTTACATCCTATGTCATTATCGGTCGGACTAAAATGGAGAAACATTTACACTATCAGCTTTCTTCTTAAGGCTGATTGCGTAACTTTCTTTTATGTCAATTCCATTTATATATGATACATAAATACAAATTTGTAAATAAATGAATTAATTTATTTTTGATTAATTTTTTTATAATTATTTTTTAAATAAGATTTTTAAAATTAATAAACTAAAATGCATTTAAGAGCCAGTTGCATTTACAATTGTAGTTTCTTTTCATAACTTGAAACAAAAAAAGTTTTTAGCAACACACCATGACATATTAAAAAACCTCGTTTTATTTTAACGAATTTTTCATTTGGAAATTTCTATATGAAACATTTTTTGATAGCACAATCGAATCTAAATAGTTTTGTTATTTTTTGACACAGAAAGTAATATAATAACAGTTTATAATAATAAATATTAAAAATAACGTAAAATAACGTAAATGTGAGGATGAAAGGCGCAAGTTGTGTCAAAAATTCCTGGAAAAACTTCGGTGCAAATTTGTGACCCAATTCATGATAATTAGTACTAACAAGTACGAATTACTAATTTAATTAAACCAGGACAAACTTTTTGTGATGTAATCATAAGAAGATAATGCAAATTATTTTTTCATTACGTTACTTGATGGTTTACATCTTTTTTAATAAAAATATCTTTTATTTCCTTTTCAGATTTTTGATTGCATAGCTGAGAAATTTCCAACGGTGAGTAAGAATATCACGAATTTAAGAAAATAAATTAGAATTTTAGAACTTCAGGTTTTGATATTATATATTTTAAATTCTAATCATAGGTTGAAGGAGAAGATCGAGAAAAGATGAGGAATTTTGAAGTAAGTCCACATTAAAGGCTTAACTTCATTTTTTAGTAATATTAAAAGTTAAAAATGATCCATCTTTTAAAAATAGCACATTTACGCAAGGGTAATTTATTATTATGAAATATGCTATATTTTAAAACTATAATTAACAGCCTTAGTTTGCATAAAATCAAGAAATGGTTCAATTGTTAACAAATTAAATAGTTAATGTCTGGGAATCTTTTAATATTGCATATTTCCATTTTTATATATAAAAAAATAGCATCATTAATTATCATTTTAATTCATGCAAAACTTCTGGTTTTATTTTATTAAAAAATCATATTTGTACACATTTTAATCACTACAAAAGTTTTTAATCAGGAAAATTGATCTAAAGTCAGCAGAACATATTTGATTCATTTATTATATTTGTGAAATCTGCAAAACTTCAGATATGTGGGATTAAAATGTAAAAATATTTTCAAGAGAAACTTAAAAAAGTTATTTTCCAAGTATGTAATTCTAATTTTGAATAATTTGATTAAAATCTATAGATATTTTTGGGTTCTTTATTATTTTTTTAAAAGAAATCGTTCAATTATTTTGCTAGTTGAATAAAATTTTTATATAACAATATCGAAACATTTCACTGTAAAAAAAAAAATTTATGGAGCACGCATGCAAACTTGCAGCTCATTTATGGTGCCAAGGTGAAACATTTTATCATGCTAATTAATTGACTAATTAATTTGATTGCTAATTAATTTGATTACGTGATAGTACAAAACGAAAAGAAAATTTGGTAAAATTATCCTTCTATATGGTAATGACAGTGTCGTCCGGCTTGTGTAGGGATTAGGGAACTGTCCTTGCATCAGAAAGGTTCTGGATTCGAATCCTGGGCAAGGCATGGGTGTTCTTTCCTTCTCTGTACTATCTGTCCTTACTGTGGGAGCAACGTTGGCCCACCTAATATGGTGCCCCTGAAAGAGTGACCAACAAATCTGCCCTTCAGGTGCCTGTATGCCCTAGATCATTATGCAGGTGGTCATTGGAAAAAGAATGGTAATGACAGTTTTCGCAACAAAAAAAAATAAACATTACTCTGATTTCTGAAACGGTATTTAAACCATTGGTTATGTAATTTTTCCGTTCATATAGAAACGGCTTACCGGAAATTCAGGTTTTCAAGATGATAGTTCTTAGCACATTTGGTAAAAAAAAAAAAATACAAAACTGAAAAGTAAATCTATTAAGTTTTTTTGGTTTTTATGCCATGATTTAGGGTATTATGATAAAATTAGCAAATATTACCACAGTTACCAAGCTTTATCACACATTATGAAACCATATTTAAATGTTTGATGTTCCCTTTGAGTCATATACATGATAAATTTTACCATATTCTTCCAGTTTTACCAATACTTTTTTTCTCAGTATATGGATCATCTTTAAGAGAATCACGGTTTCATTTAAAAATTAATAAGAGAAGAAAATTTTTTTATGATCACGTTACTGGCTGAAGCTTAGAAACCAGTTATTCAACAGATTATTTAGTTAATGTGCAGGTGAACTAGGGTGATACGCTTTGAAGTGTCAAAAAAATAGTTTCATTTCTCAATTTACATAAGTAATTGACAAATTACCTCGTTAAACTGCTCCTTACCTAAGGTACTCGTTAAAGGGAAAAGATTTTTGAAAATAATACAGCAACATTTCTATTCTCAATGTTAAATAAGTACTCAAATCTCATGAAACTCTTTATTTTGACGAAATTACTTTCTGGTATATATGCTTGAGTGATTATTTTGTCAAAGTGACGAAATAACTATCGACTCTTCGAGAAAATAAATTTCATCAAAAGTAAAGAAATCTTCAAAAAAGTACGGGCTGCTTTGTTGATAATTTTTTCGTGGGCTCCATAAAGGGGAATCAATGTCACCCTAACAACACAAGAAGAACAGGCAGACGTGGAAATTACATCCATGTCGGAAGACAGTTTCGAACCTAAGATATATCTGATATAAGATCAGCTCTTTGACTGTCATGCAGCCTGGTCGACTTGCACCATCGTTATAGTTTCGATCATCTAGTTTTCATTCTAGTTCTGTCATTCTAGTTAACAATCTCCCACAATGTACTACGGTGAGGTTTCAAATTATGAAAACATTTTGGTCATAGATTTGAAAGTTCGTTTTTCATCGCAAATCACGTGATTTATAGCTAAATGATTCTCAAAATTAACGAAATACAACTCAAGGATTACAGAACCGTCAAAAGTGACAGCTTTATTTCCGAGCGTGTGCTTGAAGCAATGTATTATTTGTTAATATCTAAGTAATGAAGTCAATACAATCAAGCAACCAACAAACTAGTTGCTGGAAACAATCTCCATTTAAATCCAAATAAAACTTTTCCATTTTTTTATTTCCAATGGCAGGGAATGCAAACAATAACACAGAGGAACAATAGAAATAGAAAATATCAAAAGACCGAAGTTATCTTCCCAAAAGCTCTCTCGTACGCCAATATCTTGCGGTCTCCGAGTCAAGTCCGTGGAGCCTCCTACAGCAATGGAGGTGCTCTCTATTCATTGGTGCTCCAGAACCACACAGTTGACACTGAGGGTGGTTATAAATACCTATATGATGCAGGTGTTCTCCTAAAGAATCATGACCTGTTAGGAGTCGAAAGGTGGCTACTGCATCTCGGCGAGGCTTATCTGGTATTGCCTTAATATCTGCCTCACTCCAGTTCTTATTCCTTATGCTTTCTCGTAGGTCAGCAAAGGCATTCATTTTCATTATGTTTTTTATATGTAGTTTTATGGAATGGTATGACAGTCCAGAGCAACTTGGTTGAAGAATTTGTGTTCCCTTGCGAGCAAGAAAGTATCCAAATAAAACTAAAATGTAAAGAATTAAACTGTTCAAAATATCACTTCATTTAAAGTTATTGTCATTATGTTATTTTTTCTAATCAGGTTAATACAACCAAACGATCAACAGATTCATTGATGGAATGAGAGAAACAAATTTTTGATCTTTAACTATATGGTATCCGCTAAAACTCACATTATCCAGGTAAAATGCAAACCACTCACCATTCCTAGAGTCATTCTACAGATTAGCCAGGCGTTAATGTACAATGAGCAAAAAAACGGACCACCCTGAATAACTTTTGATCTAATGATCTGATCTTTACGTTCTTTGAGTCAATCTTAATGGTTCGAAGGGGTAACATCGAATATGCCAATTAATTAGTGCAGACGATATTTTAAGTTACAACATCAGACACAAAAACGTATTTTCTCTAAATAAACATGCCTTTTTTCGGATTCAGATGTCTTACCAGCAAGATTTAGGGGTTAGCCCCGATCTGGAAAATATGTTTGTTCAGGACCCATAGTTTGGTCAGGAGAGCAATTCAAAGTTTGGACCCCTTAATGTTAATTTTACTTTTTGCGTATTTCACCACACGTCGAGAATTTTTTAAGCGAATTGAAAAACTTTTNAAAGTAAAGAAATCCTCAAAAAAGTACGGGTTGCTTTGTTGATAATTTTTTCGTGGGCTCCATTTAGGGGAATCAATGTCACCCTAACAACGCACGAAGGACAGACAGACGTGGAAATTACATCCATGTCGGAAGACAGATTCGAACCTAAGATATATCTGATATAAGGTCAGCTCTTTGACTGTCATGCAGCCTGGTCAACTTGCACCATCGTTATAGTTTCGATCATCTAGTTTTCATTCTACTTCCGTCATTCTAGTTAACAATCTCCCACAATATACTACGATAAGGTTTCAAATTATGAAAACATTTTGGTCATAGATTTGAAAGTTCGTGTTTCATCACAAATCACGTGAGTTCGTATCGAAATGATTCTCAAAATTAGCGAAATACAACTCAAGGATTACTGAATCGTCAAAAGTGAGAGCTTTATTTCTGAGCGTGTGCTTGAAGCAATGCATTATTTGTTTATTTTTCAATATCTAAGTAATGAAGTCAATACAATCAAACAATCAACAAACTAGTTGCTGGAAGCAATCTCCTTTTAAATCCAAATAAAACTAAAATGTAAAGAATCAAACTGTTCAAAATATAATGTTATTTTTTCTAATCAGGTTAATACAACCAAACGATCAACAGATTCGTTAATGGAATGAGAGAAACAAGTTTTTGATCTTTAACTATATGGTATCCGTTAAAACGCTCATTATACAGGTAAAATGCAAACCACTCGCCATTCCTATAGTTATTCTACAGATTAGTCAGCCGTTAATGTACAGTGAGCAGAAAAATGGACTACCCTGAATAACTTTTGATCTAACGATCTGATCTTTACGTTCTTTGAGTCAATCTTAATGGTTCGAAGGGGTAACATCGAATATGCCAATTAATTAGTGCAGACGATATTTTAAGTTACAACATCAGACACAAAAACGTATTTTCTCTAAATAAACATGCCTTTTTTCGGATTCAGATGTCTTACCAGCAAGATTTAGGGGTTAGCCCCGATCTGGAAAATATGTTTGTTCAGGACCCATAGTTTGGTCAGGAGAGCAATTCAAAGTTTGGACCCCTTAATGTTAATTTTACTTTTTGCGTATTTCACCACACGTCGAGAATTTTTTAAGCGAATTGAAAAACTTTTTACAGATTATTATGAAATTCGTTTATCCAAAGATAACTCCGCTCGAAAAAATAAATTACAGTTGATATTTAATATTTTTTAATTTAATAACAGTCGAATAAAATTGATTTGTAAGGTATAGATTTTTTACATAATTTTCAAGTATATATCCTTTTACATGACAAAATGGAAAATTTGGACAGAATCGGTGGAATAGTTAATAAGAAATTTAAATTTAATTTAAATACTTTTTTAAAATTCGATTTCTCAGGAACTATTCGATCGATACAACTCAAATTTTGCTTATGCCATTTAAAATTAGGTGCTTTATTAAAATGATGTTAAAAAAAATTATTTAATTAAATTATTAAAAATTATTTGTGGAATTATCTTTGATAAGCAAATTTTAAAATTGTGCGCAAAACTTTTTCGATTTGCTTAAAAACCTCTCGAGATATGGCAAAATAAGCAAAAAGAAATAATTACATTAAGGGGTGCAAACTTTGAAACGCTTTGCAGACCAAAGTATTCGGACCATATTTCCCAGATTGCCCTATACTTGGGGGGGTGGGGTCATAAATCCGAATCGGTGGAAAAAAAGGTATGTTTATTCAGAGAAAGTACTGTTTTCATTCTGGTTTCGTATTCTAAAATATCGTCTACATTGACTAATTAGCATATTCGAAGTCACCCTCTTGAACCATTAAGATTGAGTTCTACAATGTGAAGGTCCGATGATTGGATCAAAAGCTACTCAGGGTAATCCATATTTTTCAATTTCATTTATTTATTTATTTAAGCGCACTGTACATACAAACGGCCTTCTAGTTTCAGAGGTAACAATGACATGATATTATGATTAAGCACTGAATCAATTTTTCTTATTGTGTGGGGCAGTGTTTCCAAAACTTATGATTTTTGTGTACCCTTTTTAAATTTTTCGTAACGCTGTGTACCACTAATAAAAAATGAATGTATTTTTAACCATAAAAAAAATGCACAAAAGTGTAAAACCACAACTGACTATTGACACCACTAATTATTAACTGTTAACTCTGCAAAAAATAGCCAATAGAAAAATACGTTCATGGCTAGCTTTGCTTTTCAATAAAATCTTTTGAAACTTTCGTTTGTTGCAAGATATTTCGCATAAAAACGCGTACCCCCACTAAACTGTTCCGGTACCCTTGGGGGTACGCGTACCACACTTTGGGAAACACTGTGTAGGGTATATTAGTTACTAGTATAAATGAAATGTATATTTTTTCCTTTTAGAAATGTGCTAGAACACTACATGCTGAGACATGCAAGATTCCTAAATATCTGTGATTTCTGCGAAACATTTCATTAATTGTCAGGTGTATAATAGTAAAAAATATCAGTTTTTATTTAGTTATATTTTATTTTATTATAATGCTGTCAGTGCAATGCAATATTTGAATCAAAATAAAAGTCTTTATGAAATCAGTTGTCAGATTTTTTACACGCACACGTATGGAGAGATTGTTGCAGTAATTAAGTTATCACTCTCTCTCTCTCACTCTCTTAATTTAATTTATTGCTTTTTTCAGGGGCTCTAGCTTTTTCTTTTGTCTTACTTTCAAGTCAAATTATGAAATGACGGTCTCGAGAGAAAGCAATTGTTCAACACCAATAGATACAAAGTCACTATTTAAAGCAAAAAAAAAGTAAAAAGAAAATTCCGAAAAAGCACTTAAATTTGCTAGAACTTTTGAAAGACTTAGAATCTCAGAAAGAAATTTCACATTAAGTTCATAAATGGAAGGTGTCCTTTTAACACGTCAAATTTCAACTTTGTAGCAGCATTTAAGGGATCTGTAAGTCAGCCCACGTGATATTTTTACCCCAAGTTAAACAAGTTAATAACTCTCGAACTAATAATCGAATCTTATTTTTTTATTGCATTATACTTCTTGTAGATTTTCTCCTCTACATATCATTGTTATTACAGATTTCTAAGACTCGTAGTTTTTGCTCAGAAAAACAAAATGTAGCGCTAAGTTTAACATCCAAAAAAGCAGTGGCAGTGACTCTTACAATTTTTCATTATAGGGAGACAATAATTTTTCTACATTACAATACTATAAAAAATTTTGACTAAGGAAACGATACAAATAAAATAACAAGTAATTGCATAAAAGAGTACAAAACTAACTTAAAATATGCAAGAAAACATCATGGAATTTAAGAGTTATTTTGAAAAAAAACCTAAAATACAGTGTCGGTTCTATTTTGTTCAGTTTGAAAGCAAGGTATGCTAATTTATTTTGTTAACCAAAATTTTGCTTTTCATCTATCCATATTTTTTAACATGCGCTTACAGACTTAAATAGTTTTATTGCTCTATTTTTTATTAATGAATAAAAAATAATCGTCATTTATTTCATTTGCGATTGCGAACTCAAACACGGTACAAAAAATAAGCGCAGAATATGAAAACGTAATTATGACAACCATTAAATTTTCTGCCTAATCATTGATTTATGAACCAGCAACATTTGTAAGGCTTTCTAGATACAAGAGAAAATTATCAGTTTAATCATTGTAAAACTCCTTATTCACGTCACTAATCATCATAATAACACGGAAATGATGCGTCACAGCGAAATAATCAGGTATTTATTTAACAACTGACTGAAATCTTAAATTAAAATCCTTCTTAAATGAAAGCAGAATGCCTAATATATCAATAGTATTGTTCTTATTGTCAATTACGTGCGGTGGGTATGGATCTCAACTTCCGACTATGACGAAGTCGGAGGTGCAAAATATCATAAATTGTATCAGTGACTGTAAGTATTTTCTACAATTTTCTAATATGTATAGTGCAAAATGATTTATGTGCCCAATACAATGCAATGTGTACAATCCAAGTACAATTAAAAGTGATTTTTTTCTACGATAAGTCAATAAAGTGAAGCCATTTTCAAGTTAATTTTCGCAAGTTATTTTCAGCATTTGAGATGATTTGCGCGATTGAACAATGTAAGCCAGCAATTCTCAAATGGTGTTCCGAGGATCCCTAGGGTTCCGTGGAAAGGTTACATGGTTTCCAAGACATACCATTTATGATTTTCGAAACATGTAATTAAATTTATACCTCATTGGTTGTGCATTATATATTTGATAATTCCTTTATTATTATGAAATTACTTAATTAAAATATTTGTGAAAAAAGAAATTTAAAAGTAAAATGCTTTTTCAAACAACAATATAAGGAATAAATTATTAAAAGGATGTACGATTTATGAAAAATTTTATTAGAATTCAGCATCGAATAAAAATAAAAATATTCTACAATGTGGAGATATGTACCTCTGATAACCATTCTCAGAGTTTATTTTCGTCCCTCTTCATTTTTATTTTAATCGAATATTATACATATTATAATACATAATAATATTATACATATTATATATATAATAATATTATTATACAAATCATAATACGTAATGCATATAATTATACATATAATAACATACATATTTCGGCTCAATCATTTTCAGTTTTTACATACCATTAAATCAAAATAAGAAACAAGAGTAGATTCCTCTTCAGACCTGTGTCTCCAACTGTCTGACATAAAATCCAATTTTAAGACTAAATATTCTTATAACCATATGATAAAAAAATTTCCTCCCTCATTCATTTACTAAATATTTTCAAAATAATTGATAAAATTTAGAGAACTACATATTTTAAAAATAATAAATAATTCTTCGGTTGTTAATATGTTCATAATTGCTGATAAAATTTAGGGCTTCACAACTAGAAAAAATTGGGAACCACTGTAGTAAGTTATAGTTTATTTTCACATTTTCAAGTTCTTAATACATAGTTCAGTATCACGTAGTAAAATTTGAACTTCTGCTGAAAAAATTAAACATATTGAAGATAATCTGAAACAATTCCAAGTTGCTATTTTTTTTTAAAAAAAATCAGCTGCATTCTAATTATTTTGTTATATTTTTGAACGTTTTTGATTCGAATCTGCAATCGAGATGCCTAAAAAGCAAAATTTTTTGTAGCGAAGATAGAAATTGTGCCACTGAGGCAATTTTCTGAAACAAACTATTGATAAATTGTGCTCTTAATTATAATAGAATTATCTCATTTATTTTTTTTTGTTGGAAAACTTGCAAAGCCTAAAAGCAAACAATGAGTTTCGGAACAAAACGATAAATAAAGTTTGTTCTGAATACTGATTCGATCGTCTCATTTATAGTTTTGCTGAAGAATCTATTAGGTTTCAACTATGAAACCTAACTATAGTAAACTACGGCCCAAGAACCCATAAAGTTTCAACTAAAAATGAATTGTCTTCTAAATTATGATATAATTTTTTATTCTTTTGTTTTATTTAAAAACTTCTTAGGACTAACGTATTATTAGAATAGTTTTACTTAAATATAAATGTATTAAGTTAAATTCAATAAACTCAAAAAATTAAAAAAATTTTGTGTATTTCTTTAGCATATCTTTGCTTCTTTAAAACTGCTCACCAAATAATAATTTTTGTAAGATACATGATATAAATAAGTTTCTTTGCAGCAAAGAATTTTCACGCCTGTAAGCGATATGAAGAATGTAATGATATGATGCCTCAGAGTGTAAGTTTATTTTTCTAATAAAATTATTGCGCGACTATTTACAAACAAAACTTAAAGCAAAATTAAATGCTGAAATTAATTTTAATTTTAAAAAAAATGAATAAATAAGTAAAATAAGATCAAAGAGATTACCAGAGTACCTCGAGGTGGTTGGTTCTCTTTTACAAGAGGAACAGTCTGAATTAAAACTTAAAGACCATGGAACTTTGAATAAAAAATAATTTATTATTAATATAAAAATAATTATATAAATTAAACAAAAAAGATTTAACTATTATTGTATTATTAAAAAATATAAACTTTTGTCTAATTCTGTAGAAGCTGATTTTTCCTCTTACATCAAATAATTTTAATTTCTTGAAAGAAATTAGTTACTAACAAAGTTTGGGGCTTGTTTTATTCCATTCGTCTTCTATAGTATAAAGTTTTAGGTTTACTCCGGCCCTTTTCTACCGTAATTATCTTTGAACTACAGTCTTTGGTCTTTGGGATAGAACGGCTAAAAATTGATTGATTTTATTCTAATTCAATCTGCCCTCTTTCATGATTAATAACAACTATATTTTTTTTCTCTTCACAATAATCACAAAAACTTGGAAGGAAAAGCATGGTAAAGAGTTGTCAGAATCTTCATATTTACAGTAATATTTAATCCAGTATGTGCAAAAAAAAATGTGCGCAGCTTTAAAGTTTTTACTAAGTCTAAAATAAAATTTGTCGACAATTCCATATTTACAAATCAAATTTGTAGCGTCATTTCTTAACAATTTACTAAAATAAATAATTTCATAGTAATATTTATGTTCCTTTTTATTTATTTTTTTCATTATTCCTTTTTATTTATTACAAGTATTAATGCTTTTATTTAGACTGTATGGTGTAAAATGGCATTGAAAGTACAAAATATTAGTAAAAGTATAGTAAATTTACAATAAAAATTTAGTAAGTTAAATTACAGTTAAATTACAATGAAGATTAAAATACAATATCTAGAACCAATTTTACAAGGACGGTACCATAAAACAGGATCCACACTAAGACTATGATGAGTAAAATTGCAATGTTAAGAAAAAGGCAGAAGTGTGGTAAATTACAGTTAAACTACAATGTAGATTAAAATTACTAGGCAATGAATCTTAATTATGGGAACCACACATTTACAATATGGATTTACTATTCCTCTTCTGTGAATCTAGCTGCAGGACTATTTAAAATTGAATATAGTATACAGTATATTAAAAAGCGAACATTTAAGACTCTACAACTAAGTTATATTCTTTTTGCTGTAGTTATCAACTAATAAGAACTAAAGCGTTGCAAACTAAATTACAATTATACTATATATTCACTCAGGTTATCAAACGATTCGAAAAATGCCAAAAAATTCTCAACGCCCCTTGGAAATGTAAAAAAGGAAAGCCACTTTTCTCTAATCCGGAACCTCCCAGCAAGGTAAGTTAAAGAATTTCTCTAGTGTAAGAAGGAAAAAGCTTTTTCCATCCACTTTATATCCATAATTGTAGAACTGTTTGTTATTCTAATACTTTACGACATATGTAGCAATTTTTTCTGAGTATTTCCTAGGTAACGAAAAAAAAAAAAAAACTGAAAGAAAAAGATCGAGATATGATTTTTAAAAAATTACCAGAAAGCAGCTAATACTGTACCGATTTAAAGGCCATTTTTGACGAAAAATATTAAAAAACATTTAAATTAAATTAAGATACTTTAGATAAATATACG